CATTATATGCCGGGGGAATAAAAATGATCCAGCTCATTGAAATCAGCAAAACCTGTATAAAAACTGATGTCCAAATTTAGCGAAACGCCTTATAGATAATAATTTTGCGGACTTATATAGTTTTGTACTCGTTTTATCTCTGCATGTGCAGAAGCTAACTCTTCTTCAGTTGCGGTGTGTTGTTGCTCATGATCTACTGTTGGGTGGGGGGTAAATGTTTGGGTTGGGTCACTGGCCGTAGTTGAAGCCAGATCTTCAGTGTCAGCCGGTGTAGGCATTGTTGGTACAGAAATATCACAGAAATATATTTTAAACTTGATTCCATTTTAAGCAATTTCGTGCAGTTTGGACAACATTCATTCCAACAAATATCATAAGTCAATGACAAAAGTCAAGTCAAATAAACAAAGATGGCGGATGCAGTAAAATTTCGTAGTTGAATCAGTACTTTTTAAAAAATCGGACATAGCTTCCGCACACCCGGCTACCCGCCAGGTCTGGGAGCGATACTGCCATTTTTATTTTAATAATATGATTTACATTTACAGTGTCACGCACTGTACCGTACATGCACTGCAATAGAAATAAATGATTAAATAAAATATTAATGTCATGACAAATTATGATTACAACTATTTTAGTGAACTGTATAGTATATGTAATAATTGATTTGATAATAAGATATAGTCATATCAAAAACTTCTGTCCTGGACCTTGTTGGTTGGTCTACTCTTGGTGGCACTGTTCAATGTAAAAATACATGGAACAGCTCCTGGAACAAGCCTCTTTTTGTGCCCTCCCAGACCTCTTTTAATTTCACATTGCTTGAAGTGATAAGAGCAAACAAAAGTGACATTGCGACCAATCTGAAACAAAAAAATTACCATCAATAAACATATTTAACAATATTATTCCGTTTCTATTTTTCAAGATAGGGAAGCTGTAAAATAACATTGTTGTAGATAACCATTATTACAAAATCTATGGTCATAAAACGTTAAAAGTAGCATACATGTACATAAGGTAGAAGTTACCTGTATTACATTAATATATGAACATTTTCAGTACTAGGATTGCTGAAAATAAACCTGACTTGCAGGATAGCAAAAATGATCATAACCATAACATTTCATCGACCTGTAGAATCCTTCAATCAAAATGATATTGACAATTTTTTCAGGCAGCCATAAGTCTGGAGACAGACATGCTTGGTTAATATAGATCTATAGGCCTAGGGCCCAAACCACAAACATTTATCACATAACTATTTCTCAAGTGTAAGGTCGCCTATTGTGCCAGCGTTACTTAATGACATTGCATTCAAGTAAATCTTTCCCAATATTATCAACATTTAAATAAATAATACATTTTTAAATAACATTATATGCTTGCAGAGTGTTTATGTCAACCCATTCACTGATCGTGTGATGAAGTTGTCAAGAGCTCATCGATCAATTGACGAATGGCTCGAAATATGGAAGTAAATTTTGTAATTACATTATTATTATTATTTTACCTATAACACGATGTTCTTGTCAATTTTAGTGAAATATAATTTTGTCGGACTTCTTGTGAACGATAAACATTTTTCTTGAGTCGAGACATGTACCACTACAGGCAGACTGCTTACCTGGAAGGAGTTGCTCACATCTCGACGTATGGCTGCGATCCATTTCCTCCTGAGATGATTGTCTTAAGGAAAATTGAAAAAAAAGACAAATCCGAAGAAACTGCTTTTCTCCGGTCGCTAGTACAGAATGGGACCGAGCAGTGAGCCATTACTTTCTGTGTGTTGACACTACCTGCATGAGCAGCGATGCTCTCCAAGCCTCGCTTTCAAACCGGAAGTAGCGAAGTGTGGAAAAGGTCAATAAGCCAATAATTTGTCATTCAATAGTCAACATTTTACAAGTTCGAAAATGCCGAGACTTAGCGCTGCCGATCGGAGCATCGCCATAGGACGCATCCAAAGTGGGGAATCAGTCATCTGTTGCACGTCACTTCAACGTCCACCACAGCACCATTTGCCGCCTTTGTGACAGATACACGCAGTTCAATTCCACTGCAGGCCGTCCGAGAACCGGCCGACCAAGAGTTACCACCCCTGCACAGGATCGCTACATTCGACTGTTCCACCTACATCATCGCAATGCCGCAGTTACGGTGACTGCAGGACGCATCCCTGGTTTGAGGAGGATATCGGACCAGACTGCCAGGTACCATCTTCACGAGGCTGGAATCCAACACAGAAGACCAGTTATCGTCCCTGTTTTGCAACAGATCCACCGACAGCGACGCTTGCGTTGGTGCCATACCTTACAGACTTGGAATTTGAGAAAATGGAAACGAGTGTGGTTAAGCAATGAATCACGATTTCTTCTTTACCGGCGAGATGGAAGACAATGTGTTTATGGTCGTCGAAATGAGCGTATTGCCCCACATTGTGTACGTGTATTCGACAATTATGGTGGCAGTATTGTCATGGTGTGGGGGGCCATATCCTATACCAGGAGATCTGACTTGGTTGTTGTTCAGGGGAAATTGACAGCAAGTCGCTACATGAATCAAATTCTTCAACCTCACCGTCTTCAAATCATTGACCCCCCTGTTTCGTTATGTGTTTTGTTGCATTCGAGATGATGCATAACTTAAGGATCACTGGAGGCGTCTGCTTGAAGTTGGTTTACTCCGGAAGTCAATACATGAAGTCACGTTATGTCCCATTGACATATTCGGGGACGTGATGCACAAGATGAATATTACATATCGTAACATCTCCCTTTTTTTAGAAAACAATTAAAGTCAATGAGATAATAGGGAGTGTGAAACTGTTCATATTAAAGTCACTGTTCCTATTAAAGTCACTGTTGAAATAAAGAAACATATGCATGTAAATAAGATTAAAGTCTATGAAATTAAATTGATGTGCACCCAGCACTTAATAGATACACAAAATTAAAGTCATGTTCACACTTTCATGTTAAAGTCTTTCAAGTGTGCAGGTGGTCTTGAAACTCTACCACTTCTCGATGAGTTGTTGTTACTTGTTGTTGTTACCAATGGCTGTGTCTGTGACTGTTAACTTTCTTGGGAGACGGTTGTTTCAGTGGCTGGTCTGTACCTGGCTCTGGTGCTTGTATAATTGCTGGTGCTTGAGCATGTTGAGACGCTGGTTCTGGTTCATGAGGTGTAAATGGTACTGGTCTCAAGTGACGTCTATTTCTCCTTAGTGTTTGACCATAATCAAGGTTAACTTCATATGATCTGATGTTAACTTGTTTGTTTACTGTGCCTTTTTTCCATTCATGATCACCTAGTCTGAGTGGTTGAATGCGCACTTGGTCGTCTTCATACAATGGCAACAGATCTTTTGCATGTCTGTTGAAATACTTCACTTGACTCTCTACTTTCTTCCTCTTTTCAGATTTGACTGTTGGACAAACAGCTGGTTGGAGTAACTGTTTGGTCGTAGGTAGTAGAGTCTTGGTGCGGCGATTGAACAGGCGCTGTGCAGGGGATGTAGACATTCCTTCAGTTGGTGTGTTGCGGATGTCTAACAAGCCTAAATAAGGGTCAGAACCTGCTTTTGAGCATTTCTTGATTAGTCTCTTGGCTGACTTACTGCAGACTCGACTTTACCATTCGATTGTGGGAAGGCTGGTGAGCTTGTTATGTAAGTAAACTCATACTTGTTGGCGAGATCATCAAAGTCCTGAGAATTGAACGGTGGACCATTGTCTGAGATTATGGTATCCGGTATTCCGTGTCTAGCCAAATGACTTTTGAGTTTCTGGATCACTTGTTTTCCTGTCTTGTCAGTGATCATATCTACTTCAAAGAAGTCACTGAAGTAGTCAACTAGGATTACATAGTCTTTCTGATTACAGTTGAACAAATCAATACCTAGCTTTGACCAGGGTCTGTCTGGAGTGTCATAAGGAATCAGAGGTTCCTTGGCTTGCTTGGAATCATAGATCTGGCACACTTCACATTCGGATATGAAGTCTTTGATTTCAGCATTCATGTTAGGCCAATAAATATATTCACGGGCCCTTCGCCTGGTTGATTCTATGCCAGTGTGAGCATTATGTAGACGTTTGAGAATGTCAGATCGTAATGCTATTGGAACAACACATCTGTTTCCACGAAACAGAATTCCATCTTGAACACTAAGTTTATCCCTTACATGGAAATATGGTGTTGCAAGATTAGGTATGTCACTCTTTGTCTCGGGCCATCCTACTTGTACCATCTTGGCTACAACCTGGAGGGTTTCATCCAGAGCGGTTGCACGTTGGATTTCAGTGAGTCTTTCATTAGACGCAGACACGTAGTCTAACATTTGGATTTGTTCTGTTTCCATCTCCACATCCACAGCTTCTTCTGTCTCTGTCATGTATGCGCGAGACAGAGTGTCGGCAAGATACATTTCCTTGCCTTTCTTGTATGTGATGGTATAGTCATACTTCTGCAAGGCGAGAAGCATGCGTTGAAGACGCTTGGGAGCTGTGACCAGAGGTTTCTTGTGTATAGTCTCTAAGGGTTTATGGTCACTTTCAAATTGTACTTTGCGTCCATAGAGATACTGGTGGAATCTAGTGAATCTGAACAGGATGCTCAGGAGCTCTTTCTCAATTTGAGCATAGTTTCTTTCTGTGGGAGTAAGAGCTCTGCTAGCATATGCTACTGGTTGTCCACCTTGAAGTAGAGAAGCTCCAAGTCCTGTTTCTGATGCATCACTTTGAAGCGAGACTTCTTCATGACTGTTGAAGTACTTGAGAACAGACGCTTGAGTGACAGCTCGCTTGATAGAGTCGAAAGCAGCATCATGTTCGTGTGTCCAATTCCAAAGGATTCCTTTCTTTGTAAATTGTCGTATGGGTTCGCACAGATCTGACAAGTCTCTGAGGAACTTGGATAGATATGTAACCATCCCGATCACACGTTGGACACCTTGAACATCTGTAGGTGTAGGCATTTGAAGGATTGCTTTCACTTTTCTAGGGTCCATGATCTGTTAGAAGATGACCAATGTAAGAGACTTCTGAACCTTTCAGATCAAGTTTGTCTGAGTTGAGTCGAATACCTTTCTCTCGGCATCGTAGCATGAACTGCACAAACCGTTTGTCATGGTTTGCTATTCCTTCTTCCTTGGTAGAGCCTTCACCAATGATCAATATATCATCTGCTATCCTGAATACTCCAGGCAGATCTTGGAGAAGCTGATCGATTCTCTGCTGGAATATCTCTGGTGCAGGGGAAACACCAAAAGGAAGTCTGAGCCACCGATAGCGTCCAAATGGCGTTCCAAAGTTTGTGAGATAACTAGAGTCCTCATCAAGTACGATATGCCAGAAACCATCTTTCAAGTCACATTTAGAGAACGCCTTGGCTTCTGCAATATCTGGCAGTATATCTTCCATTACAGGCAATGGATAGTGACATCTTTTGAGAGCTTTATCGAGAGGTTTAGGATCTATGCATCCTGAGGGCTTCTTAACGATCAATAGACTAGAGACCCAGTCTGTAGGTGTATCAACTGGAGTAATTACACCACGTTTTTCTAGACGTTCGAGTTCTGTCAATGGGTCTTGCTTGAGAGCATGTGGAATTCTCCTGAGTGGCTGTTTGACAGGCATTATACTTGGATCAATTTCTAGCTTTTGAGTTCCTTCAAAAGTTCTAAGTTCATCGCTAAAGATGTCTGAGTAAGTCTTCAGTATGTCCTCTTTGTAAGACCAGTTGAGGATGTGACTTTCTCAGACAGAGGTTTCTCTTCAGAAACTTCAAGAATATTTTCGTGGAGCACTTTGATAAAGTTCATTTGTTGAGCAGAACGGGATCCAATCAGTGGTGTTCTGTCCTCAGCAATCACAACAAACTTGCGATGATACTTTTTAGAGTTCTTGGGATTGCATAAATGGAGATTAGCAGTTCCCATTGTAGTAAGCTTGGACCCATTGTACGTCTTCAGGTTAACCGACGTATCCTGCATGTCAGTATCCTCTGGGAGATACTTTTTAGAGATAACATGACAAGAAGCCCAGCAATCTACCTGAAATCGTACTGGTTGAGAGTTCACTTCAAGTGTTGTGAAGATTTTAGTAGGGTATTGTCCTACAACACAGTTGACAGATTCTTCACAGGTATATATAGTCATCAGTTCCTCTGTAGGATCAATATCAGATTCATCAGAATCATCATCGACTCTGTGTACTCGGGAAGAATGTTTCTTCTTACTCTTGCACATGGAGGCATAGTGTGAAAATCTACCACAGTTACTGCATTTGACACCATGAGAGATTTCTGTTGTGAGTCATTTACAGGCTTACTATGTTTACTTTTGTCTGGGGGTTGACGTCTGGATGGAGTTTTAGATTTCTTGCGAACAGCATGGATATCCTCTTGGGCACTTGACATTGCTTTTACTTGAGCCATGGTTGATTCAGTTGCTCTGCATATATCTATACATCTCTTCAAAGTCAGCTTAGGTTCTTGCAATAGTTTTCTACGTGTTGCATTATCTCTCAGACCACACACAATTCGGTCTCTGATGAGTTCATCATGTAACGATTTGAAATCACCAGATGCAGCCAATGTTCTGAGAGTGTTTGTGTAGGTGTCTACAGATTCACCTTCCATTTGTGATCTTTGGTTGAAGATGTATCTTTCATATATGACGTTAGTTTCACCTAGACAGTGCCTTTCCATGAGAGTTAACACTGTATCCATGTTCTCTTTGTCCTCCTCAGACTCATAAGGTAAGCCATTATAGATATCAAGAGCTTCTGGACCTATGTAGGTTATGAATGAAGCAAGTCTGTATTTATGGTCATTTGCATCAATTCTGGCCATAACTTCAAAAGAGTCCCAAATTTGTCTCCATCTTTTCCAGTTTTGTGCAAGATTTCCCTTTAATTCAAGTCTTGCAGGTGGGGGAATATTGCCTTGAAATGTAGTTTGAGTAACAGGTTGTGCTTGCTCTTCAGCCATAATGATGATAAAAGTTCATAAAACTGCTTCAAAATTACTTATTTGCTGTTTAAAAGTTCAAATTGCCATAAACAATGACAATTCAAATAATGTCCCTTTTAGGCTTCCATAGAGAATTTTCACCATCAGCACTTCGGTAGATTTCTTGCGACATTGAGTTATGGCACCACACAGGCTTCCATACTTTTTCAATTTGGTCATATGTACTTCATAGAGAGAGTTTTCAAGTGCACATTATATCACAATCAAGTTGTTGCGTATAATAAACATCAATCTTCAGAATTCAGTTTCAGCCTTGGTTCACTTTGTAGAAAGTAATTTTAGAGTTATGCAATGCAGCGAGTCGAGCAACGCACGTGGGTTTGACACGATCGAGTTTGCCGGTCAAATACAGGTTAGTTCACTGAAACTCACTTGAGTTGGGAGTAATAAAGTTTGTTTAGTGATGAGAGTGAGTTGTCACCACTTCTGACACCATGTTTCGTTATGTGTTTTGTTGCATTCGAGATGATGCATAACTTAAGGATCACAGGAGGCGTCTGCTTGAAGTTGGTTTACTCCGGAAGTCAGTACATGAAGTCACGTGATGTCCCATTGACATATTCGGTGACGTGATGCACAAGATGAATATAACATATCGTAACTCGCCCGAGGGAGCTGTTATAACAGAACAACGCTCCATCGCACACAGCTCGTGTTACGGTAGACTACCGATTTGCCCTGGCCGTCGAGATCTCCAGATCTCAACCTAATCGAACACCTCTGGGATGGACTCGATCGACGGGTACGGCAGACGACAGACACCCCCGCAACTGGCAAACGCGTTACAAGCAGAATGACGCAGAATTCCGCAGGACAGAATTCGTACATTTATCCAGTCAGTGCCGAGGAGATGCAGAGCCCTGATTGCTGCCCGGGGCGGTCACACGAGAAACTGAGTTCAGCGCAACCTTGTGGCCTTATGTGACAAGACAATGAACAGTTTTCAAAGTCTTTGTACAACGACAACATGTGACTATCGAGCTCCAAAATTTCATGTTTGTATCTATAATATTAAATTAAATATATCTACTTGATTAGGTACAATAAATTTACTAAAAATCTATTTCTTATTTTGAAGAGTGTATGTGGTGAATGAAGTACGTAATCAACAAACATATACATTATCTATTGTAGTCACCTTTATTTGGGTTGGCTATTCATTTTAAACATGTTGTTAAACCTAGTGCATCAAAGCTTATCGATTTTACCTTCACAAACTGTAACTTTTCTATGTGTAATATTGTCAGAAATGGGCAGATTATATGACAACATACAATATCAGTGCCAGTGTTTCTTTATATTGACTTTGTTAAGTGTGATGCTAAATGTGTATCTACGTCTTTTCAATATAATTCTGAAGAATTTCATGTTTCAAATGTTTTGAATTTTAAGAACAGTTAAGCAACATTTTTTTGTAAATATATTCCGTTTAAGACACGCTGATTCAGGCTATGATGAAGGCGAATATTTTGACAGAAAATAAAGCAACCATAAAGTTACTTCATTATGACAAAATATAAGTGTTTTCAATTTACAATTGCGTGGATCGATGATCATGATGTCAATCACTGGATTGTCTGTTCCAGACTCGATTATTTACAGACCGCCGTCGTGTGGCTGGAATATTGCTGAGTGCGGCATTAAACAACAAGCTTTGTCGTTACAAATCGCATTCGCCAGCTGAGATAGGGTAGATGCACAAAGGGCACATCAACACCATGCTGATGTAGGACACTATTGTTACTGAAGATGGCAAACTGGCCCTGTTGTCTGGTCTCTCCAATCATCGAACCATGCAAAACTACCATCTGTGAAAACATATAATAAATACTCCCTAACACGATCACTGGTCATATTAGTTCCTGGAATTCCCGACCCGTGACTCATTAGCCTAAACCGAGCATTCAATAGCCTCACATATATTTCCATAGACGTATCAAACCACCAAATACCACCTGGTTATACAAAATATATATCTAGTTGCTCAACATTTGTATTCACATACATTTGACAAAAACAGACCCAAAAAATACATTAGTGTTATGCTAGAATGTCAATTAACATTTTAATCAAATATAAATTTTAAATTTAGTTGTGTTTTTTTGTCAAATCATTCTGAAACATCTACGATGACACTCGAAGTGTTTAGAATGTTTTGGAAAATCCGCAAACACGAACGCCGAAGCAAACTTTCCGCCATATTGGATAGTGTTTACAAAATCGCGTTTCAAGTAGGTTATCAGACGTCTTTTACATCACGTATATTTCAGACTCATTTGCGATAATGTCTCATACATTTAAAAATTAAAGTGTCACTAATACAATGTCATTATGAAATCAAGCGAAATAAATTAGTGGTGACAACGAGCGCTGTGCTTGAAGAACTGCACTTTTCTGAAATGTAAACAAAACAAAATTCAGATTTCACACAGTGTCGCATTTTCTCCTATTCATTGCACACATTGGCTCAACGTTTTGTAGAATATGCATGGGAAGAGTACACACTACAATGATTTGGTAAATTCACACCGAATTTTCAAAGTTTCCGACCACGATATTTATCGGAATTTCCTGACTCTTTCTCTTTGTTACAATGCAAAACACATCAAAAATTAAGAAAACGCAGATTGTCAGACTGTTTGTGAATATTTATATGACACATTTTTGTATTATACGATCCCTGAATCAACGAAAATCCCCTCGTAAAATCCCGCGTGTCAGTGAACATTGCAGTTAGTAATAGTGGGTCACCGGTTGTGATGTTTGGTATTTCGTTTGAGTTGAATACTTCTGCATCCAGTTCAAATTATGATGTAGATTTTTGCGTATCTGTTACTCTGCTTTTCACGCAATTTATTTCACAATGTTCAATAGCAAAGCATGCGTAGATATATGTCACACAATGTATGAATCTTTGATAACAGTAGTTTGCAGCAGAACCCTAGCTCCTAGTCAAGCAGGAGTAATCTCCCCTACCGGAAGTGCCGCCATTTTGGATGTGCGAAGAGGGGCATGATGGGTAATGCATGCGCATCCAAGATGGCATCAGGTCCTTTTCCGGGCGTGCGTGCGCATGCCTTCAAGATGAAGGAGAGAGGAGGAGGAGGAGGAAGCAAGGTTCTTTTGTTGTTGTTTGTGTTAGCAAAGCAATGATGAAAGCGTTCTTTCGGGAGAGTGGGGTGGCCCTGAAAAGGGCCGTTGGCCAAAAACAAAAACTGGAACGGAACAGGAACTGGAACGGAAACTTCATTCTGGGGAGGCGGGAAAGCTTCCTCATTCGTGTTCTCCTCGCACAGATAGTGCCAGTAAGCAGTAGCTGCCACGTTCTTCTTCTTGTGTCTCACCAGCCCGGTCAGCTTAAGGTAGGCGCAGTGAGAGGACCACTTGAGGTGTTCCAGGCAAGGATCAAGCATCGGCCAACCATCAAAGGAGGCTAGTCTTTTTTCGAAGTGTAGATAATGGGGCGACAGGAGCTAGTTAATTTATTCGTGACATTATTTACATGGCAAAAACATTCATTTAAAGTTTTGTCGAAAATCGAAATCCGTTTACGAATAAAGATTGTCATACTTAAAACTAAAATCAGGTGAGACATATATTTTAAAAAATACCAATGTTGCTTTCTCCGACGTCATCAAAGGCATAAAAAAGCCATAACGTCAAAAGTTTAGTAATTCTTTACATTTCATAATAAGGCTAGTACTCCATTAATAATGGTACAACATTAATCAAATTATACTGACACAATTTGGTGAATGTGCAAATCTATAGTCTTATATAAGTCATGTGTTAGATGGAGCCATCCATCTCGCCATTACTTTTTTTTTTATGAAGTACGATTTCATCTTTTCTTATAATTTGTGTTGTGCTTTTAACTTATACAGTTCGATATTCATATGTATGTTAGAATAGTTTGGTTCCTCATGAACAAAACATCATGATAACATATTGCCCTTATCCACAGCTAGTTTTCACCAAGTGACATGAGTCCGCAATTAACTAGTGCTAAGCACAACGGAGTTATGTCCCCTGTTATGTGACGTCTTTAGGAAAGCTATTATTGTTCAGAATTTAGGCAGTATTTTGTTCGCTCAAAGTTTTCATAAAGCTGTTTAAAATATCTTCGCACAGAACTTTCATAGGTGCATGATAAAAAGTGTGGACAGTTGCAGCTGTATAACCATAACAAAATCTCGGACAGCATTCAGGACAAGCTTTTTTCATACCGGTTTAATATTTGCAGTTAAATTTACACAATAATTTTTGAAATTAAATATTCTATGTACTTAGGCATACAATATCATATGTAGAACACAATACAGATAAAGAACAAAATTATATACTCGACACAAAGGGAAAGAACCCGGATGTTGCGTTATCAGCATCTTGTGGGATTATCGCATGTGGAGGGCATATGATTAAAATACTACGATCAGTTTGTGTGACTACAGTTTCTTATGAACCAACGTCATAAGAAACGGATCTCCATTAAGAACTTTAATACTGCCGAAATATAGAGTAACGATCCAAGAACGTCAAACTCAAAGCTTGTTGCAAGCTTGACATGAGCATAACTGTGCAATTTCAATGTCCGTCCCATCGTGTGGTGATGATTGTTGCCTCCGCTTTCTGTATACCTATTGTTTCTACCACGCTCGACAGCAGATGGAATGGTAGATTTACATAATTGTTTCCTTCCGTTAACGTGTCAAAGTATAGATTGTTGTAGCAAGGTAGCTGAGTTGTCACCAGCCAAGTGAAACAATCGATGGTATGGGGCCCCATATTCTATCTTTGTACGCCTATAGTTTTGGGTTCGAAAGACATCTTCCTGTACATTGGTCTTACACGCAAAGTGTGTGGCTGATACACACCTGGTTGTACCGCAGCTAAATGCCATGAGCTTACAGATGAAAGCAAACATTTCAGATCCGCTGATGTGAGCAGGTCCAGATGAAGCACATCCTGCCAAGTATGTTTTTGACGAAGGCAAGCATATATATTTCTCAAGCGTAGATTTGTCGGAATGACAGCTCTTGCCACTGACATGCACTATTTTGCTAGACTTGCCAGATATTTTGCTGTGCTTTATTTTCTCTTTAGTGCTCTGTTCATGTCATGATTCAGTTTAGTAATGCGGTCACTTGGAATCTTTATACGAAGAAGGCCGTCCTCATTGAAAGTTGAAATCATATGTCCAACATATCGGACTGTAGACGCTGGATTTAACTCATATTTCTTGAAATAACTTGAACACCTACATTCTCCAGTGTGTTTACTATCAACTCTCCCACGCACAATATGCTCTGCATAATTGGCTGGCAGATGTGTATGTGATATGTATATAAAAGTCGTACAAAATGTTTTATGACAACTTTGGTCCAGAAGTAGGACTCAGTAAGGCGGCCATCAAGGACATCTCAACATGTCTTGATAACCTTGAAGTATGGTGCATTGACACAAAGTGTGGAGAGTTTGGAAGAGTTATAATTCAATCGGTGCATATTGTGGCAGACAAGTACAGAGAAACATGGTAAAATGTATGGCCAAAACGTTCAATCCAATATTGCTGCGAAAATATGTTATTTAGAGCCATCAGACGTCATTGAGTGGCATATGATATCCGCTGCCATGCCAATTTGAAAGCTATTGGTTTCTGAGATAGTTGTGAATTAATTTTGAATTATGTGCCCTGAGTCAATGAGCCAAGAACATTGGGCGTTTTGTGGTATCTGCTTCACATCGGTAGAGATGCTGAATTTAAAAAAAAGATATTTAGGCCACTGTTTGTTGAGTTACATGTACCTCTGGTACTTTAAAACGGCGGAATAATTAATAAATATATATATATTATAAATCGAGCAATTACAATAGGGCGCTTGGCCTTTTAGGTTTGGAACCCAAATAATAAATAATTGGAAAAAGTCAAATTGATCAGGTGGCAGATCTAATCTGTAGCCAAAATTACGGCCTAGGAAGGCTGTAACTGGCACTGTATATGCCAGATTACCTATCATCTGAGATAACCAGTTACGGCATAGGAAGCCTGTCACCAGTAATACAGATGTCAGATTGCGTACCACCAAGGCCAGCCTGGCTGAAATTGTGTGTCATGTTGCTGGATGCGAGGCTATAACTGGCTGCGTATCGGCTGCTTTATTTATTCAAGGCCTCAGCAAAACTTTCAAATTGAGTTATGGTAGACATGTGGAGGACCTGTTGTTGTTTTTTTTCAAGTGAGCAATTTACTAGTTGGTGGTAATTTATGGACACTTGCTCATGATATGGTTGGAATCACACAATCGAGTCAGTCGGCTTCAAATTACTAAAAATAAATTATATTGATCTCATTAACCCCCAAGTAGCAAAGACTTCAGTAATTTGGGTTGATGATATCAAACTCATGTAAATATCACATATCAAATATTCAAAGTATACACACACTCTTCAAAAAAAGAAACGCAATTTTTTAGTAAATTTATTGTACCTAATCAAGTCGATTTATTTAATTTTATATCATAGATACAAATATGACATTTTGGAGCTCGATAGTCACATGTTGTCGTTATACACATAAGGCCACAAGGTTGTGCTGAACTCAGTATCTCGTGTGACTGCCCCGGGCAGCAATCACGACTCTGCATCTCCTCGGCACTGACTGGATAAGTGTACGAATTCTGTCCTGTGGAATTCTGTGCCATTCTGCTTGTAACGCGTTGGCCAGTTGTGGGAGTGTCTGCGACATGTTCTGACTTTGCCGTACACGTCGATCGAGTTCATCCCTGAGATGTTGGTTTGGGTTGAGATCTGGAGATCTCGACGGCCAGGGAAAATCGTTGATGTTGGCATTATGAAGGTAGTCTACCGTAACACGAGCTGTGTGCGGTGGAGCGTTGTCCCTCTGGTGGTCAGTGATTGGAAGAAGGTGAGGCTGAAGAATTTGATTCATGTAGCGACTTGCTGTCAAATTCCCCTGAACCACAACCAAGTCAGATCTCCTGGTGTAGGATATGCCCCATACACCATGACACTACCGCCACAGGAATTGTCGAATTCACGTACACAATGTGGGGCAAAACGCTCATTTCGACGACGATAAACACATTGTCTTCAATCGCTAAACCACACTCGTCTCCATTTTATCAAATTCCAAGGCTGTAAGGTATCGCACCAATAGTTGGGCGGTTAAGGCTAAAATTGTGAAATTTGGGTTAAAAGCACTAAACTTGGCACACTTATACATTGAACCATTCCGAACATTTTTGGATATGGATCCACCTAAGCAGAGCCCCCTGGTGGTAGAAAATCCAAGATGGCCACCAACATGGCTGAACTCTCTAATGGTATCAATATATACTCAATATATCATACTTATTTTATCCATTTATACATATATCCATACTAATGCATGCGGAATGAATTGCAACAGAGCTGTTTATAATTCAAATATAGTTTGCAGCGCCCCCTGGTGGTAGAAAATCCAAGATGGCCGCCAGCATGGCTGAAATCTCTAATGATATCAATCTATGCTCAACACATCATAGTTATCTGGCCAATTTAAACAAATTATCATTGTAATGTATTTAGGAGTAATCACAACAATCCTGTATATAATTCAAACCTAGTATGCAGCACCCCCTGGTGGTGATAACAGTCCAAGATGGCCGCCGACATGGTTGAAATCTCTAATGATTTTAGTCTATACTCATTTATCATAATTATCTGGTCAATTCATTCAATTTATCACAGTATCTTTTTCAGGATCAATTGCATCCAGCTTTATATAATTCAAATATGGTATGCAGCGCCCCCTGGTGATGACGAATATCCAAGATGGCCTCCAATATGTTTTAGTTTTCAGTAATTGTCTATTTCTACAGCAGATATAGATATCATTTGAAATCTTTGTTAAGGATAAGTTGATAAGTTTTGATATGATGAAACAGTTTTAACAGTATTGTCTATGATCTATTCTTGACATATTATTTTATAAATTGTCTACTGAGAAATGTTCCATCTAGTTTATATTAGATCACCCCAAAACCACTCATCTGGGAATGGATTCATATCTTAAAAACAGGAATGTATGTAAAAGTAGTATTGCCATTATTGCCATGAACCTATGACATTAACTTACTTCCTACTTAAGTAAGACCAGGAATATCAGTTCAATGCATGTGTTTACGGTTCCATTATTCACTTACAGTGGTTCCTTCAAAGTATCACATAGCACTGTACTCAAAACAGGCAGTGTAAAGTTTACTAAGGTGTGCACGGTTTCTTACAGGTGTAGTGTGAGTTTATAACACTTCTTTGTGCCTGACCAAGTGTTGTCCATTTTGGTATCCATATTTTACTGCACGTCCTCTCCCAACCCCTGACTACAAGATTCTGTAGTGTGGGACGTTTGTCG